CGACATTTGTTCCATTTTACCTTTTTTTCTTTTTTTAACTTTGAACTAAAAATAACTAATGGAACGTTTCAGAGAGTTAAACTTACTTTTACTTTACATAGCCTAGAAAAAAAAAAGCCAAGTATCCAAGAAGCAAAAAAAAAATAGTCAAGTATCTTTATAATATCTACAACAGGTAATAATGATGAAATATTACAAAATTTCTTAATTTTGATTTTATATCTAATTAATAGTTTTATTAGCTAATTAATATTCTATTTATTTTTTGCTATTTAATCATTCCTTTTTATCCCGATTATTAAGGAATTAATTATTCAAATTTAAAATTCATCATTCTTTTTTCCTCAATTCCTTTTTTTTTTTTGTTATAATAATTTAATGTTTGTGTAAAAATATTTGAATAAATTAAGTATAATGTAATCTTATTTATAATAATACTATCTTTTATCATACTATCAGTAAATAATCAGTGATAAATATGATAATATATCCACAAATTTTTTTCAATAAATTTAATACAAACTAGTATTATAATACTATCTTCACCATATCACAAATAATTAATCAGTGATAAATTTGATAATAAAACAATAAATTTTTAAAAGGAATTAAGTATAAAGTAATATTATTTATAGCAAATGTTATCTCTTATCATATTACAAACTAATCAGTAATATTGATAATATATTCATAAATTTTTAAATAAATTAAGTACAAACTATTTCCATAACAATTCATAAAATTTTGAATAAATTACGTATAAACTGTCCCTATAATACTACCGTTAATTAATCATATTGCAAATAATTAATCAGTGATAAATTTGATAACATTTATTATTTATTTATAAATTTTCCTTTTCCAATAATATTATGATAAGAGTGATAGACATTTGCATGGATAATTAAACAAATTAAGCATTTATTTTCGCTTAACTATTTCCCATAGATTTATTCAATCAAAAATCTGTCTTCTCATTTTTTTTTTTCTGGGAGAAAAATCAAAAGATCGTATCATTGCTTATCCCATCCCTTACCATATCATACCATTGCTATCAATCAATCATAATTACAATACAACATTTCCTCATCAAATCACATTTTTTTGGCGACATTTTAGTTTTACACCAATCATTTACTACATGTGACAATATAACCGTGTCTGTCTCTGTCTGCCAAACTATGTTATAATAAGAGTTTAAAATGAAACAATTTATTTCTTGGTTGAGAATATAAACATATGTACAGACACACACACACACATACACACACATACATACACACATATATATATATATATCCATATGGTGTAAGTCTTCATTAGTCATTTATTCGTATGCAAATTAATGTAATTCTTGCATTAGTAATTAATCAAATTATTACTTTTGCTATCAATTTTTTGTTCAATTTCTGTAAAATTTTTCTTTTCTAATTTAAACAAATTAAATTTTTTCAATTAAATTTTTTAAAGCTATGTTTTTTTCATAATTTTAAAAATTTTTCATATCGTAAAAATAAAAATGGAAAAAAAAACAGGAATCTTTCCTTTTTTTAAATAATTTTCTTCATACAATCATAAAATTCCTCTCAGCTTTTCTTCGCAAATTTCAAATTTCCTCCATTTCCTTACTTTTAAAGCATTAAAAATTTTTAAAATTTTCCTATATCAATTGAAATTCAAATTGTCCCCTGTCACTAATCATAGTAAGTCTATTCGTGTTTGCCGAACAAATGAGTTAAATGAATACGAATTCGTGGATATGAATAAATTAAGTAAATATGAATTTAATTAAGTAAATATGAATTCGTGGATATGAATAAATCAAGTAAATATGAATTCGTGGATATGAATAAATTAATTAAGTAAATATGAATTCGTGGATATGAATAAATTAATTAAGTAAATATGAATTCGTGGATATGATTAAATTGATTAAGTGAATAGGAATTCGCGGATATGAGTAAATGAATTAAATAAATTCGTGGATATGAATAAATTAATTCGTATATGCACATGAATAAATAAAGAAAATGAAGAACAAAAATTAAAAATGTCAACAAAATGGCCTATATTTTTTAATGATATTTAAATTATTTTAAAAAATTATACAGAAATTATTAAATGAAGAACAAAATTCTTAATTTCCTATAAACTAAACAAAAGAAAAATTTTTTTTCAAATAAACTTTTAAAGTTTTTTTCTTTTCTTTCCCTTTTTTTTTTTGTTAACAAATAAACATTCTTTTAATAATTAGAATCAATTTTTCTGACAACTATAAACATTTT